CGTTCGGCAAACGATCATCCACTAATCAAGGAAGCGGTGGGTGAGAGTGGACACCCATTAAACAACCATTTTATAGACCATAACCTATAGATCGGCTTCATGAATGAGGCCTACTAATGGTAAGACTAGCATTTATCTTATACATATACAATAATTATTCTTATAATATTGTAATAGTATAGGGTTGAATTTTAAACTTCTAAAATTCTACGTTTGGAATTTAATTATTTCGAAATTATACTTTTAATCAAAAAATCAAATTCAAAAACTTAAGGGAAAGTTTTGAAACATTTCAAAACTATCTAGATCAAAATTCAAATAAAACAATTAAACAATTAATTGGTGGTTATCTAATTTTTGACCTAATCCAATTATATACAAGATAATTGATCAAATAATTCAAATAATTAAGATTGATCATATAAGCCAATAATTATCTAATTGAATGATAAATATCTTTTATTTTGACTAAGATAATCACATAGAATCAATAAAATTTTGGATTTTATTATTCAAAAACAATTTTAGTAATTATACCAAGTTAAAATATGCCAAAATCCCGAAAATGTGTCTGTCTGATAGCCCGACTCGTCGAGTCCATTACAGGACTCGCCGAGTTCATCCTACTCTTCGAGTACCTCATAGGGCTCGACGAGTCTGTCAAACAGATAGCATAAAAATTGATTTTAAGAAATGAATAATTACACTATGCATCAAATACAATAGAAACCAAGCAAGGCTCTTATACCACTGATGGGTTTTGAGCAAAAGAACATCCTATGTGCATATACAAAACCCTAAAGCTTTGGATCTAGGTTTTTCTATTGTACATGCAAATTTATCCAAAGCTTGCGAGCCCTAATATACCATACTATGAAAACAAGATCTATAATAAAACAAGTTTAGATGATACCTTTCAATAGTTGCAAGAATATTCTATCTTCAAGACCTTAGTATCACAAGTGTAATACCTCTAATGGCTTACAAACACCAAGGCAAAAAGATGATTTAGAAGAGAGAAGGAGATAGGCACAATTTTGGCTCTTAGGAACTCTAGGGTTTCTTGGGTAGCCGAAATCTGTAGCCTTGGGGTCCCTTAAATAGCTGAGCTGCTAGGGTTTCAATGAAAACCCTAATTGGATGACTTAGGCCCTAAGCAGCTTCAAGAACCTTCTGGAATAAGGCCCCTTGGACGAAATTAGGGTGGTCTTCCACTCTAAATTTCATCCCCCTTATATCCATGAGGATTCACATCCCAAAATCAATTATCTTATAATTGACATTTCCAGTCCCCTTTATTTAATTAATCTTTCTTAGCCACAAAATTAATTCTTAATTAATTCTTGGCCAATATTAATTAAACTACATGAATTTTCTTTTAATATATTATTCATATAATATATTAATAAACCATAATAACCTCTCTCTCTCTCTCTCTCTCTCTCTCCCCGTAAATCATCATGTCAACTTGCTTTGGTGAAGGCAACCCAAAAGGACCATGCAAAATCCAAGTCAAGTACATACCAAATATAGTTACAGGCTTAGACACTAATCCAATAGTAATATGGCTAACATATCCGCTTACCCAGGTTGGACAAACCGTAATACGGTATAAATGTGCTTGAATTACATTACCTAAGTAGAAGTAAATTATACTATAATGTTACTTAATGATTAATTTTTTCTAGCCTTTTGTGTAGCTTTACGTCCTAATCAATTATTACTAACTGGTGTTTGGGTATTTTGGATTTGAATACATTCAAAATGACTACAAACAATAGTCACTAGAAGAGAGGCTACTTTTAAGAAGAAGATGAATGATTTATAGTTATGAGATTTGTAAGTCCAAAATCTGCTTGTGTATCAATCAGATCCAGTTGATGGTGCGGAATCCCAATCAAGTGGATGATGCCAGATCAAAATAAAAGAGAATGAGAAGAAGAATAATATGATTCTTGTATAACTTGATTAGAATGAAGTTCCCTTACACAATATTCACACACTTACACACACTTATGCTCTTCTCTCACACTCTCTCTCTCTCTCTCTCTCTCTCTCTCTCTCTCTCTTTCTTTCTTTCTCTCTCTCTCTCTCTCTCTCTCTCTCTCTCTCTAGCTGTACAGTCTCTACCGCACTCCTCACCCTTTACATATATTTATATGAGATAGATAACCTTAAACATGGTCACGGCTGTAAACACGCTCATAACCGTAAACACCCATACAGCCGTAAACTAGACTCAAAAAATATATTTTCCTAGAAAAGAAAAGTATAAAGCAATAATTTAGACCTAAAAATCTCACTCTTGGTTTATAGCTTTCTTTTCTTTGACCCAAAAAACTCCCCCTAAAAATGTAGCTGGATTTTCTTGTTAATCTTCATCTGGAGCTTGGTTTCAGCCTCAATCTTCAAATTCTTCACAGCTTCAAGATCAACTTGATGAATCTTCAATAAATGACTTCATCTTGAGCAGTTGGGGTTTTCTTCAGCATTGGATATTTAATGTACTTTGGGTGAGGAGGCTTGATGTACAGATTCTTGAAAGATAGCACTTTCAGCTTGAGAATCTTCAGAGAGAACATCATAGAGAACGAATCTTCTGGATCACTTCAGCAGGTACATAGATAGCAACAAATTGATTGAGGAGGCTTCAATTAAATCTATCACATAATCTTCAAGAACAGCTTCACCTTGCTTCTGGGATTGAAAGATTGAATGTTTAAAGAATAGTCTTCATTTCTTGTTCCTTCAAATGAGAATTCTTCGATAATCACAGATGAAGCCTTGGCTTAGAAAATCTCGATATAGTCTCCATGAGTCTCATCTACATCCGAATTCACTTTTCAAGAAAAACTAAACTAAAAGAAAAACTGAGCACACAATATTTATTTGGAATTTTCATATTTTGAAAAATAAAACAGAAACAAAAATATTTTTGGATTATTTTATTATTATTATTATTTGTGAACAAGAAATAAAACAGAAATAACACTAGCTTTTTGATTTTTCTGATTTTTGTTTGATTTTTAAAATTTTAATTCTCTCCCTAAATTTGTAAATAAAGGAAAAATATGAACAATGTAAGTCCCAAATTTAATGATCCAACTCAGTAATCAATGAAGTAAATTATAATAAAGGAGAGATGCAGAAGAAGAAGAATTAAAATCAAGCACGCACACATTTATATTCAGCAAATGTCAAGTACATCTTGAGAAAAGTGCAACAGCAACAGAGTTCTGACACCAGCAAAATCAGTACAATCTGACACACCTCAGTTGCTATAAATAGTACTCCTCACACCAGCACAAGAGAGTGTAGCCCAACATATGTGTGCTGCCGCACACACTGTGTGCGGCCGTACACACATGTGTGGCAGCACACATTACACTACACCACATACTCACTTCTAAAAAGACACTATCATCTATACCAAATGATGCCTATCTCAAACCACAAAATTATGTTCTTTCAATCTCCCCCTTGGTTTGAGGCTAGCTTAGTCTTGTCTTCACTCCTTTGGCTCCTTAGTGGGCTTCTCAAACAACCTCGAATCTGATCTCCCCATTGAACCCATCAACAATCTTCCATTTATAATTATATCTACCATTACAGTGTATTCTTTAGCAGCAGACTCCATGACATCCTTTCTGCAAATGATTTGATGACGGGCCAAAGTTCGTATATTCTTTTCTCTGAAGCGTAGAAGATCTTTAGCACTAATCAATCTCATAATATGTTCTCGATTCTTGAATTTTATGGCTGCAGTAGTTGTTTTGTCATCATATGCCCAAAATTCCATGTCATCTAGATATCCCTCATGAAAGTGTTGAGGAATAGGAATTTCCTTTTGTTTCTTAGTTGCAGGCAAAAGTATAATCTTCATGGGTTCGCTTGTTTTTGGATCAAGAACATCTTTGTCCTTTTTGTATAGGGCTTTGGTAGTCTTCATTGAAGGAAAGTTCTCTTTGACTTGTCTGTCGAGAAATCTTTTGAAATTTGAAGCATTTGGATCTTCAGAGGGGTTATGGAATGGGGCCCTGGATAATTCAGCTAGATCAGTTTTGGTCCAGGAGTTGAAATCATGGGTGCTTTTGTAACATTCAGATGCTCCTGATTTTCGCTTTACAACCCACAAGTTCGTCACTGGATCAAAGGCCCACATTCGGATGCCTGTTCTGTCACCGTACTCATCACCAAACTTCCTTTTCTTCAAATTTGTTACTGTCAAGACATGGTCTTTTGTTTTGCGATTTTCATTAGAGTTTTTCATGAATAAAAGACCTTCGCTTTGTTTTGTGATTCTTTTGCCCTGCTTGATTGTGATTCTGGCTCTGCTTCCTTCAGGTTCTTTTTCAAATCTGTCTACAATGGTAGTTGTTCTTGGAACAGGTGGGTCAACACGTAGATCATTAGTTGCAAGAGGTGATTGAACAGAAGGAGGATCAACTACTCCATGAGGCTATTGGAAAAGGGCTTTGACTTTCTCACCAATGGCATCGTACAATACGTTCTTGAGATTGAAATAGTTTGCCAGAACAGAACCGAGACTCGTTTGTAGATCCTTGATTTGTTTGGTCTTTTCTTCATCTTTTGCCCTGAGCTCAAAAATATGTGTAGAAAGTTGATCCATCTGAATAGATTTTTCAATGAGCTGTTGACGGAGAATTCCAATTTTTTTCTCGGAGATCAGATGAAGAGGATTTGTCATCATCTATCTGACCCTCGTTAAATGATATTCCTTTTCCGCATGAAGAGGTTGGACTAGATTGAGCTAAATTGTTTACTAATATGATAGATGCTTCATCAAGAGAAGGTCGTGTTGGAGAATATTCTGGAATAGAAGAGGATCCACCAGTCTCGATCATGGTGCTTGGACCTTCATCAGTCTACTTTGAAGGAGAGTGAACAGTGGTTGTTGTGATTGTTGAGATAATTTGAGGAGCACATTTAACAGAGGGTACCTCCAGACTCTCAAGAGGTTGGCTTGTTCTTATGGAGGTCTAAGAAGTCTGAGGTTCAGATAACATAGAAATGACTGGAGTTGATGTTGAGACAGGTGACACAGAGGGAGGCATCTCTGATGTCACATCTCCTTGACTTGTTGTGATTTCCAAGGGCTTTGAGGAAGAGAGCAGATTTTTGAGAGAATTTCCTTCATCTCTAGTCTTGGTTGCTAGAGAAGCAACTTCATTGACTTTATTTGCACGGCTGCTGGGAATATCAAGATAAGGATCAAAATCTTCATCACCAAAATCAAACTCGATGTTTGTTGGAATATCATCATTGATTCCTGTAAAGTCGATTTCTTTCAAAAAATCTACATCTTCATAAAGATCATCGTCGTCATCCCCCCGAGAAGATATTGAATCATTTGCTTTCTGATAATCATGCTCATCAGCTACATAAGCTGTGGGAGAGTGATGAATCTCCTCCATTATAGGCTCGAAGGGAGAGTGATGAGTGTCTTCATTTTCCATCGGCATGGAATGATCTGCTGCTTCTTCTCTGACATCCTATTTAAAAATTCCAAATTTAATTAATGGAAATTTTCCTTCAAATACAAATTTTCTGCCTCTCTTTTTCTTCATTAATCCATAGGCACTTGGACCAATGGATTTGAAATCCAGAGTATCATTTCCTCTCTGCAACTCGGGGTGAGTTACATTAAGGATGATTTGTAGAAATCTTGGATACATACAAAAATTGTCTCTTTTTCTTCCTTCAATATTCAGTATCATTTTGTTCATTATGAATTTTAAGAAATTAAACTCAAAACCTGCTGCCAATGCAGCAATGGCACCAGTATTGGCTAGAGAAATCTCGTTAGCTCCTGATCTCCTGCCAGAAATGCAACTCATGAACACATGAGCCAAAAGCTTCCAGCATGGAGGAAGCAGCTTTTTGATTGTAGGAGGAAAAGTTCCTTCGTATCCCATATGCTCCAAAACTTTCTCAATTTGATGAAATTCAATCTCCATGAGGTACTCAGGTCTCTCCTCAATTTGAAGAGATTCTCTGATGATGCTTTCTGTAACTAGAATTCTCTTGTCTTCGATTGTTGTTTCCAAATAAATTTCACCTCGATCATTCTTCTTTACTTCAGTATTTCTCCAGAAATCCTTAATCAAACATTGGTAGATTACAGGATTTGTAGTTAAGCAATGAACCAGGCAAGATTTCTTCAAACCATCCATAATGAATTTCAAGTCACTGTGGGCTGCAGGAGGATCTTCAAGAAAAATTGCAGAATTATGAGCTTTAGCAAACTCCATGTCTCCCATTTTAATCTAAAAGTTAACACATGAAATTATCAGGGCAACATAGAAGAATGATGCAGCCGCACACGTAGTTACACACAGCCGCACACGCATGTGTACAGCTGTACAAGGTCAGCCGCACACATTTGTTCATTGAAAAGTATGGCAGCAAACACTCAGCCGCACACGCTTTTACATGAATGAGTGTAGCAGCACACGGTCAGCCGCACACGGACGTGTGCGGTTACACTTGAAAAGAAACAAATTTTTATGAAGATTCAACAGCAAACTATGAAAATTTTTGTGAAAATAATTAAAAAATTCAACTGTGTTCATAAAAATTACCGCGTGAACAACTTGTTTTCACAACAAATTTAATGGAATTTTAAAAAAGATTGAAAGAATTTATATGTGTATGCGGTTGAAGCGAAATAAAGATTGAATGATATTCACCGCACACGCACACTATATATATGCAAGGATTTTTCACTTTCTCCTCCTTTTCCTTTAATTATTTATCCCAAAACCCCTTTCACTTCACAATTTTCTCAAAAAATGAATTATTTTGAGGATCAATAGAATTTTAATTTCAAGGATTCAAGGAAAATTTTAAAATAAAATAAAAAATAAAAATAAAAAAATAAAAATAAAATAAAAAATATTATGAGATTTAAAATTCTATTGACTACAAGAATCAATTTAAACCTATATAAATTGTTTTAACCTGTTGAGGATTAGGGATCAAAGTTTTTAGACGACCATTATCCGCTTGTCGGTACCTTTCATATTCACATCTTTGTCTGGTCGATTGTCGGTATTGTTGTTCACTTAAACACGAAAAACTGTGACAAAACTAGGACATACTATAAGTGACAAGACAATGTGATCTTAAATTCCTAGATATTATATCTGATCCTAAGTTTCTAGATACTATATCTTACTATATCTTAAGGACCATTAGCTAACGACGACCAAGGATATTGTTGTCCACCTAAATTGAGCAGCGAGATCTATACACAATCTTTGAGTGTTCAATTTTAATTATACTGGAACATGTTTCCCGCTTCCAGATATGCCCCGGTAATCAAGGACTTCCAGAGTACTCCTTACATCGGATGAGCAGACTATCATTAGGGGAGAAGATAGATTCAGAGTATTATCACTTATAGTGCATATGTTGTGTACAGGTCGGATTGTTAGTCACGCAAAGGAGACAGCATATAGCTAACAGATAAGAGGAATTTCATATATGTATGTGTATAATATGCCAAGAAATAGAGTTGCATATGTTACAATCCAGGTCGGATCTCTTCCAATCACGCAGAGGAGGTAACATATGACTAACAGACAGAAAGAAAGAAAATGATTTTCTACAGACCTAATTTATCGGAATTTACCAGTTTCCCCATCAATACCTGAATTAAGGACAGAATTTGCACATGGAGGAAAAGTTAAAGCACGGTTCCAGATACGGGTTCATTTAATGTGACGAGTAGATTCCCATATATATCTCCCTGCTCAACCTATCCGAGCGGCGTATTGTCAGGCTAAATAGAACTATCTAGATCAAGATTTGTCAAGTCATTTGATTTCCTAAGTTCAATTCTGCCTAGTCATGTCCATTCAGAATCTTTCGTGCCTACCGACACATCAAACCAGAGCATAGACCCTTCAACTTTGGGTACGTTACACATACTCAGGTTGCCTGTTATCACATGATTATATCACTTCCAAGAATATCTTCCTCAAACATAATTTCTAATTTTTAATGTTTTTGGTTTTTCTATTTTTTAATGTTTTTGGATTTTCTATTTTTAATGTTTTTTTTAATGTTTTTGGATTTTCTATTTTTTTTAATGTTTTTGGATTTACTATTTTTTTAATGTTTTTGGATTTTCTATTTTTCTCCCCCTAAATTTGTGCATAAAAAAATAAAATGAAATAGAATGCGCAAATTTTTTAAAAATTTAAAAAAATAAAAAATTAATCCTCAAAACGAATCATTTTTAGAAAATTCACCAGCACATCGAATCGAGCTTTGTTAAAAGGCTTGGTGAACAGATCTGCTATATTATTATCAGAGCGGACCTGTTCTAGCCGAATGAGCAAACGCTCATAACATTCTCGAATAAAATGAATCTTGATGTCGATGTGCTTGGTTTTTGAGTGCTGGACCGGGTTTTTGGCAATTTAAATCGCAGCCTCATTGTCACAAAAAATAGGGGTTTCTTGAAAATTCAAACCGTAGTCCAACAACTGATGTTGGATCCAAATGACTTGAGAACAACAAGCAGATACAGCAACATATTCCGCTTCTGCTATTGAGGTTGAGACTGTGTGCTGCTTCTTGCACTGCCATGACACCAATCTATCTCCCAGAAATTGGCATCCTCCTGAAGTCGATTTTCTATCAAGTTCACACCCACCATAATTGTTGTCTGCAAAAGCATAAAGATCAAATTCGGGATTTTTCGGATACCAAAGACCCAGTTTTGGGCACCCTTTGAGATACCGAAAAATCCTTTTAACAGCAATTAAATGAGAGAGTTTAGGATTAGCCTGGTAGCGAGCACATTGACAGAACGCGAACATGAAGTCTGGGCGACTAGCAGTAAGATATATGAGTGATCCGATCATGGATCGATAATGAGTTTGATCTACAGATTCTCCCTCAAGATCAGGAGTCAGAAGAGGTCGTTCCGCCATGGGTGTAAGAGCAGGTTTTGCGTCTCGAAACCCAAACTTCTCCAGTACATCTTCCACATATTTTGATTGATGAATAAGGATTCCGGTTGAAGATTGTTTGACCTGAAGCCCCAAAAACGTGGTCATTTCCCCAAGTGAACTCATCTCAAAACGCTTTTTCATTACCGCTTCAAACTCTTTGCAAAGTTGTTGGCTTGTCGACCCGAAAATGATGTCGTCCACATAAATTTGAACGAGAATTTGATCTGGACCGACATGCTTGAGAAATAAGGTTTGATCAATGGTGCCTCGGGAATAGCCGTGATTGAGCAAATGCTGAGTAAGAGTCGCATACCAAGCTCGAGGAGCTTGATGCAATCCATACAGAGCTTTGTCTAACTTGTAAACATGATTTGGAAGAGACGAGTTAACAAAACCAGGTGGTTGGTCAACGTAAGTCTCTTACATTGACCTTGCCATACAAGAAAGTCGTCTTAACGTCCATTTGGTATATAGTAAAGTTCATGTAAGAAGCATAAGCAAGGAAGATACGAATGGCTTCCAAATGAGCAACTGGAGCATAAACTTCTGTATAATCAAGACCCTCAATTTTCGGAAACCCTCAAACCACCAATCTTTCCTTGTTGCGCACAATGACACTTGAATCGTCTTGTTTATTTCGAAATACCCAACGAGTATCAAGAGATTTCTTTCCTTTTGGTGGCTCCACCAATTTCCAGATTCCGAGTTTCTCAAATTGATTTAATTCATCATGCATAGCTTCAACCCAGCTGGGCTCATTCAGATCCATTTCGACAGATTTAGGTTCAATTTGAGAGATGAAGCAAGAGTGGAGACATGTATTAACATCCCCACTTTTACTTCTTGTTTGAACACCTTCGCCCAACTGTCCAATGACGTTCTCTATCGGATGATCTCGCTGAATACGTGTAGGGATCTGATAACTAATATCATTGACAGAAACAAGAAGATTATGAATATCAACTGCTCCATCATTTGTTGTATGATCTGTAGAGGATGAACTAGGTTCGTTTGAAGAATTTGCTACAAACTCTTCTGCAATACTCTCCGAAAAGGGAAGTTCCATCAGATTTGAAGTTACAGTGGAAGTCTCGTGGTTCATGAACTCTCTTTCCATCGGAGTTAAGGGAGTAACAATAGCATCAGGAGAAGGTTGTTGAGGAGACTCAGTAGATTCAAATTGAGCAGAGGGTACCAATGGAGGATCAGAAGAAATCAATGGTGGTCGATAGACAACTTTATCTTCTTTGTCATCACTAGGAATCTTCGAATTGGAAGTAGATCCTTTTTGATTTTTTGAAGACACATTGAATGATTTGAAAAGAGATGTGTAGTCAAATAACCAATCAGGACCCACTCTTGCATCTGTCTCATTTTCTTCGAGCCAATGAACATCAAAGGATTCTACAATCTGTTTAGTCTTCTTATTGTACACCCTGTACGCAGTTCGAGCAGCATATTCAGCAAAGTAACAGTCATCGGCTTTGGCATTGAATTTGGGATTGGATTCCAAGTGGAGAAGGGTGCAAGGGCAACCAAATACGCGGAAATAACTGACAGATGGCTTGTGTCCAAATAAAATCTCATACAGCATCCTCATTCTGGCTTTTTTGATTAGCACACGATTTTGAACATAACACGCGGTGTTAATTTCCTCTACCCAGAAGAATACAGGAAGCTTGGAGTCACAGAGCATCGTCCTTGCGGCATCTTATAGAGTTCGATTCCGACGTTCGGCAACCCCGTTTTGTTGAGGTGTTCGAACATAACTGAATTGACGCACAATCCCTTTCTCAGTGCAAAAATGATCAAGAACAGCGTTCTTGAACTCTGTTCCATTATCTGTACGCAGCGCTTTCATTCGATGTTTAGTCTGATTTTTGATCATCACAATGAATCTTTTGATAAGGTTAGCAATTTCAGCTTTGTTAGACAAAAAGAAAACCAAGTGAAACGAGAGTAATCATCTATCACAATAAGGCAGAAAGAGTTGCGATTGATACTTAGAACATTAACCGGACCAAATAAATCCATATGCAATAATTCGAGCACTTGACTTAGGAGTTTATCTGCTTTGAAAAGTGTGGTTTTCGATGATGTTTTCCCTGAGCGCATGAAACACATTTTTCAAAAGTAATGAAATCCTTGATGGGTAGCCCACAGACCAATTCGTTCTTTGCAAGATGATTCATGTTCTTTGCATCCGCATGACCGAGACGACGATGCCACAGCATCGCATTTTGTTCAGAAGCTTTGGAGAAGAGACAAGTGACATCGTCAGGGAAATTTCTATTCAT